AATAGTAATAAAATAATAAAAAAAATAGTGGCACAGGCCAAGTTCAGGTTATGCTGCGTCAAATTTGACCCTTACAATGTGCGTTATTTCGAAATTGGCACTTTTTTAAAAATCGCCCATTTGACTCAAAATAACGCATATGTGCGTCCCGAAATAACGCACCCTCCCCTAAGAGTTTCACGATAAATATAAGTATATTGCACATGTCTATTAAAGATTAGTAATATTGGTCCGAAATATCGCACATGTGCGTCTCGAAATAACGCACAGATGCTCGAAATAACGCACAGGTGTGCGTTATTACACGAAAATACGGTACCTGCTAGTGCTTGCTAATTCGTTGCAAAAATATAAGGTCCTACATCTCAAGACAACCAAATGTGCTTGAAATATATTAGTATTTGAGATTTACCATCTCTTGTTGATTGCAAGATGATGAATTCATATTTACTACATTTTAATTGGTTAATTACCACGTGCATCATTGAAAGAGTAAAAATTGTTTGTGATATTCAATAAAATTGTAATTACGGTAATAGTGGTCTATTTCGAAAATTTTTCGAGTCCCTTATCAGATATCAGACATAGTACATCACATGAGTATAGCAAAAGGTATACACTAATAAACATCATTATGCTATACTGAATAGCTGATTTATACTTATACGCAACATATATATTTTCTATACAATAAGGTTCTAAAATTCTTACTCCTCTCAAGCATTGAAAAGAAAATAATAAACAACAAATAATAATACTGTAATAATGCAATAGAAATTAAGAAATTTTAGAAATAAACAAAAGTAATAAATATTATATAGTTATTTTATGATTTACTATCTCAGATTTATGAAGTAATTCAATTATTTTATCATTTAAAATACCATAAAATAATTGATTTATTTTATAAACTGATCATAGTAAAGCATTAAATAAAGATGTTTTATTGAAAATCTCAATAATTTGAATTTTGAAAAACATTAAAAACCAATATGAAATCTTTGAAATAATTTTTAACTATGCTATTTTTAGCCATGTTCTCATTTTGCTCTGAAGATACTAAAATAATATTTTTAATCATGTTTTCATTATTTGCCCTGACGATGTTGGGTGAATATGAGATATTTTAATCATTAAATCATGGACTTGATTAATTGCCCTAAATACATATTTAATTGGTTCATTTTCATTTACTAACTCAACGTTATACTTTCTAAAAAATAAGACAGTAAGCAATTTTAACTCAATTGACACAATATTTCTTCCTGGGCATATTCTTAAACCTCCACCAAATGGCACATATCCATTCTTACATATATTATTAAATTCACCAGTGCCTCCGTGTTCTTTACTAAGAAATCTATCGGGATTAAACCTTGTTGGTTCGTTCCAATAATTAGAATTATTCATTATTCGGTGATCATCGATAAAGAACCATGTTCCAGATGGCCATTGAAATTTATCTATGCTTTCATTACCGTCAAGCAAACGTAAATTATATGGAATTGGATTTGAATGACGTAAGGTTTCTTTAATCAATGCATCTATATAATGGCACCTTTCAAGATCTTCATAAGTAATCTTTGAATTTGTATTTGAGCCAAATACTTCAAGAATTTGAGCACGAAGTTCTTTAAGAATTGAGGGATTCTTGACAACATTATAAATGAGGAAACAAAAAGCAGAGCTGGTCTATTATAAAAATATTGTTTAGTATTCATAATTTAATTTATATACAGTAATTCAACAAGTCTGATAAATACCGTATCGATAGAAGCAGCTGTAATTTCAGCAAGATTGACCATAATTTCATCATCATTCATAGGTTGTTCACCTTCTATATATACTTCAGAATCATTTGATAAATTAGAAATCAACAATAGATCCAGTAAATTAAAATTTGTCGGTGACCCATTCTTAATCTCAATTCTACGATTTAGAATTATTTTATGCATTGTACCATTCAAGAAAATCGATTTCTTTTTCATGCCACCGAATCCAATTGACACAAGTTTGCTAATAGATTTTGGTATAAGGACCATGAAAGCAAGCATTGCCATATATTCAGATGCTGCTTTGGAAATCGACTCAAATGATGACAAATTATATAATGCTTGTCCAATAACAGTTGTGATTGTTAATTTAGCTTTATAATAAGTTATCCAATTGGAAATATCTAAGGTTACAACATCATTTTTATCCCATTCATTTTCAAATTCCCTAAATATCTCTTGAGCACTATTTATAAACCCAAGATGGTATTTTTTTGACATTAAAACTTTAGTAACAAATTGCCGAAGTCGTTTCCACTTATGAAAAAGGCCATTAAATATTACACCTTTTAACACCCCAAATTCATCATAAGCGGCAATGCTACGTTTAAAAAATTTTGATTCACTATATAAACTTTGCGTATCACGATACGATAAATATATTTTATCAACATATTTTGCATCACAAACGACTATAACTCGAAAAGGACCAACATAAAGCTCCCACATGTCTATAGAATCATCTAAATTTTTTTCAGCCCATTTACGAGGATTTAACCCAATTTGAAGAAGCGTACCAATAAATGGCAATGGAAATGGTCCAGGAAGAGGGTTTGGACGAGTGTAATAATGAAAGTAAAAATGTGTAATATATAAAAAGAAAATTATTCCGACGAAAGTTAAGATTACCATTATTTAGCAAAATTTTTTTTAAATAAAACTTTAGTAAATATATTAGACTTTTTTTAAACTTTTATGCTTATTTATAATTTTATGTTTCATATTACTATAATCAGTTTGCGCAATCTATGTTTCGTTAACCAACTCCTTTTTGGGGCTTGTATCACTTATTGTTATCGTTATAGCGACAGTGGTTCATTTAGGGCACTGAAATTTATTACTTAATATTTTAGGGGGTGGGGATACAAAGAAATTAGTATAATCAGATTCTTTTTAAATTGGCCAATCATATTGGATCTTATTAGAGTTGGATAACGAAACCCGAAACTATATATATAAAATCCCGAAACTTTTTCCGAAACCCCGAAACCTTTTCTGAAACTCTATACTATACTAAAAGGGGTAGAATTTTAATTTTAGACTTTAAGACATAAAGTACAAGATAATTAGATTGCATTTCAGAAATGTTTTGGTTGGTTACTTTATAGTAAATATGCATTAACATTCTAATTTTAAGGTTTCGGAGATTTCTGGTTTCGGTGCTGTCACGAGTTTCGTGACGTAGGAGTTGGGCTTAGATAGTTTAATTTATTTTATTTTATTTTTATCCTTTTATTGTT